TTAGCCGCTCTCTATACAATCCAAAGGTAACACAAATATTATTAGTTATCCGACGATGTAGTTGTTAACATCACAATTTCAAGATTTTCTGATTCAGAAGAGAATGTTTCTGAAAATTTCTTGGATTCTTTGAATAAAATTACTGAGGAATGCAGTTGATGTAGTGAATATAGACCAAGAAACCGAAGAAAAAGGCGAAGAACACGATGAAGAAGAAGTTAATACGTAAGGTTTCGGACTTCTCCAACGTTTCTGCAAATCGGAGATGGTATGTGGGCATTGTGCGGAAAAGGGCCACGAGTTTAAGAACTGTGGGAATAGGGAGAGAGAGGCGGTATGTGCAAACTGCAAAGCTAGGGGGAATGATGACAGACACGAAACGAAGGATAAAATTGTGGAGAATACCAGATATCGGCGGAGTTGGTATTAATTATGACGACATGAAGAGAGGGCAGCAAAGGATTTTATCAAAAAACTAGACGGGGGAGGGGAGAAGTCAGAGAAAAGCGAGGGGTTAAAAATGGTGTTCTGGAATGTAGCGGGGATTACGAATAAGAGAGAGCAGTTCTGGGAATGTAGATGTATTATAACCAGTGTTGCTAAATACCCGGGTATTTATTTTCAAGGGTAAATTTCCTGGATATATACCCGGGGGTATTTACCCAAGATGGGTATTTAGAGGTATTTATAAAATTTAATTTAAATTGAGTTGATGGCAGTTTTGCAAGCACTTCGAGAATGCAGAGTCGATTATCGATACACCAAACTTGTTTATAACATCTACAAGAATGCTACAATGACGGTAAAATTGCATGAAAGTACTAAAGAGAGTAGAAATAGTGAAGTCCTGATTGTGGATAAAACAAGGCCATACAATGTTGAACCCAAATTGTTCATCACAGTCCTGGAGAATGCATTTAAACAACTGGGTTGGATACAAAAAAGCATAAACATTGATGGCAAATACCTAAGTAATTTACGCTACACGGACGATATAGTTCTTATTTTGGATATCCTTGGAGAGATGGAACTAATGGTGAACGACTTAAAGGAGGTGTATGCAAGAGTCGGGCTAAATATTAACGTAAAGAATCAAAATTTATGACAAATCTTGTTCTTAAGTCTACCATCAACATTGGGAATAATGAGATTGAGAGGGTTCCTATATATTTGAAAAGAAAGGCTTTCAATCAATACTTGTGTCCACTTATGACATACGGCTCCGAAACATTAACATTAACGGTAGCCACTGCCAGGAGGCTCAAAGTAACGCAAAGACCGAAATGAAGACCTATGAAGAAGAACTGGCGCAAATGATGTGGTCAACATTGTGGCAAAGCTCAACAATTGGATTCAGACAGCACAGAATAGAATCGAATGGAACAGATATGTCCAACAATGGGTTGATGATAATAATCATAATAACTTGATCTAATCTAAATTGCGACAGATTCGTCTGATGATAATACGTCTTTGATCGTTGACAATTCCTCGTCTTCAACGTACATTTCATCATCTTCCTCTTCATTCTTTCGGAATTTTTTTCTTTTATACGTACCGTTTGGGTATTTACCCTGGGGCGGGGTAAATACCCGGATAAATACCCATTTTCTAAATACCTACCCGTCAGGTATTTACCCAGCGCCCAACACTGCTCATCTATCATTTTATGCAAAATGCATCTTTTTTATTTACTGGATAACCGGGCTGGTATCTTATTGACAACACGTTACAGAAACATCTGGCACAAATCCAGTAGTTAGCATGTCTTAATATAACGGGTGCAATGAAATCTTATCCGATGGCTGCTCTTGAAGTGTTGGTCTCACACCTCTTCAATTATACATACAACATGAGGCAGCTTTAAGCAAAAATATATACAATCAGAGAATATAATAAGANTTACTGCATATCCATTTCAAAACATTATTCTGTTTTCAATGTTATCATGTATCAAATTACATTATTACTAGCCTTTCACCCGAACTCCTGTTTCGTAAAATGGACGTTCGCGCCCACATATATTGACATTTTAAATTAATTTAGCTAAGGTGCATAGGTAAGTATGTAAGTCAATGAAAGAGACGAGAAAGCAATGGGATGAGATGGCAGGGGATGGGACGGAGGGATATATAATAATGGGAGGGGATTTCAATGCTAGAGTGGGCGAGGAGGGGGGAAGGGTGGAGATATGGGGAGAGGAGGGACGACGGCGGTCGAAGGATACTGTGCGGAATGGAGAAGGAACAGAAATGCTGAGATGGGTGGAGGAGAACGGATGGGAGATACTGAATGGGAATAAAGAGGAAGGGAAGTACACTTACATCGAGGCGAGGGGGACATCTGTGATTGATTATGTACTGGTGGATCAGGAAATGTAAGAGAGGGTGGAAAGGTTTAAAGTGGGAGAAGCGGATTACCAACCGTTGGAGGTGGAGGTAAAGGGGACGGGCGGCAGAAGGCGAGCAAGTTCATCAGGACAGACTGGTCGGAAGAAGGGGTGGCATTCTACAGGGGAAACCTCGACACTTGGCAACAGAGGATTCAAGAGATCAATGGTTTGGAAGAACTTATCCAGGTAGTGGGGGAGGCAACACTGAAAAGGGAGTGTGTACGTAGGGGTATGATGGCGAGTGCAAGAAGGCGAAGAGGGAGGCGAGAAGGAGGTTGAGGCAGTGGAGACGGGGGAAGATAGGGGTGGATAGATATAGGGAGGCCAGGAGAGGATACAGAGAGTTATGCAGTAGAACGAAAACAGAACTGAGGGAGAAGGAGGCGGCAGAGATTAGAGGGATAACAAGGGAAGGGGAGGTATCTGAAAAAGAGAAAGAAGGGTAGGGAGAGGATAACCAGCGAAATACACATGACAGAATGGAAGAGTTACTTTATGGGATTATTGGGAGGGGTTGAAACGAGGCTAACGGGTTTGGGAGGCTATGAGGGAGATGGGGGAGAGGAGATAGCAGAAGAGGAGATGGAAGCAGTGCTTAGGGGATTGAAGAAGGGAAAGGCGCCAGGGGAAGATGGGATCCAGAACGAGGCATGGTTGGAAGCATCAAGGGTGGTGAGAGTGAAGTTGTTGGAGGGGATGAATAGCGTATGGAGAGGGGGTGGG